TCTCGAGACACAGTGAGCAGTGTGGAGAGACAGTGACAGTGACAGAGGCACAGAGACAGGCCAGGCTGTTCTCTGTGTTTCCTGTTGTTGCAATAAAACTCAGCTGATCATCTCACGGAGTACCTTCATTCTTGGACCACGTATTTCTGTCTTTGTTAAATAAATATTGCCATAACAAGGGATATAAACTTTTTCAGAACACCGGTAGCCGGCAGCCATTACAGACGAACGTGTGTTTGTTGTTGTTCGAGGAGTGGCCCGGTCATCTGCTAATGTCAATAGTTCGCTATCATTATTAAGGTGCAGGAATACATTTTTCCCCTTTTTTTCACATCATGTCACCTGCCTGGATCCGTTACAATCTCTCTGAAGAATGAAGGAGTGTCAGAGGTAAGATCGCTTCAACTGCGTTTTATGTCGTGGTCTCGTTTCGGGAATCAGGCATTTTGTGAATGAAGCCAATATTTAAGTAAAAATATTTATCTGAGTATAATACTACACCCTAACTTTATGGATGATTTTATGGATTAAATTTTACGTATTATACTTGAATAAATATGATAATTATTATTATGGCATGCTGTCTGGAGACAAAAATGTTTGAGGAAGTTTTTGTGGATTTTGTCGTTTCCATCCACCTTTTCTAACATGATACTTCAAAATGTGCATAAAAAAACGTTGATGGAAACACGGCTAGAGTGGGAATGTAAAACACAGATTCACCTAACTCACAGATAAGCTCAGACTATGAGGCTTTTTTAATCATGTATGACTATAAACACACATCAACCAGTTTACTGACCGAACCAAGCAGACAACAACACAGGAGGAGCAATCGGTTGTGTTTCTGTTCAGGGTAGATTAGAATCATTTGGTCGTGATTCGATCAGTTTTATTTGGTCCTGATGAATAAAACCAGGGTGGACTCTCTTTCCATGACTGTAGCTCAAATTAAATTGTAACTCTGGTTTCAAATGAGTAGAAATGTGAGTCATCATGCTGCTGAGACTAAAAACTGCTGACAGAGAATAAAATGAAACAAAACTAATGAAAGGTGAGACTCCAAAAGTATGATTTCAATAAATACTTCCAGCTAGCTGTCACACCTCCAGACTCCAGTAGAATTATGTTTGTTTAAAATAAAACCTAAAAGTTATATATACTAAATCACTAATGTTGTGAGCCACAACCATGACTGATGATGCTCATAATTTCTGCAGAAACCTGTCAACAATAACATCCAACAGGGAGAGGGCTGAACAGTTTAAGATCAGTCCAGCTCCTTATATCTTACCAGAAGTTGGCTTTGGTGAACTGCTCCATGTAGAGCTGTTCATCTGTGAAGGGAGCCAGGTGCACGTCTCCGATGGTGGGGAACATTTTACCTACAAACAATGAAACAGAGTCAACACAGAACCAGCAGCAACCAGAGGTCTGACACCCACTAACATCACAAGGTTATAGCTTCAAGAGCTTCTGCTGTGTTTTCCAGATGCTCGCAGCTTCTTACCGTTGGGCTTGAGGAACTTCTTGGCRTGCAGGTAGCTCTCCAGCATGCGTTCGTTGAACAGCATGTAGCCCATGGGCTCTGAGATGATGATGTCCACGTGCTCTGGCAGTGTCACTTCCTCCACTTTCCCCGGGATGACCACCACACGCTCCCCCAGGCGGTTGCTGTTCACCAGCACCTGCAAGGTAAAGGACACGTCCGTCTGAGCTTTAAAACCCTCCTGCTGTCCGTGTAAATCTGCTGGTCCTCTGATGGAGGAGATGATCTCTCTGCACCTCAGCATGCTGCGCCATGGTGCTGGCCTCCACAGCGTAAACCTTCCTGGCTCCAGCTTGGGCAGCAAAGAACGAAAGGATCCCTGAGCCGCAGCCCACATCCAGCACCACCTGGACCAAAGAGCACAAGGCTCACACACAGCTACTAACGAAGAGTCTGAACTTTACAGACAAGTGCCACAGCTTTCTATGCTGTCCACATGATCCAGTTTTAGGAATGAGCAGTGATTTTTATTTTTTAATATTCAAAATATTCAAATTCTGGTTAAAGTTTATTTAATTATTATTATTATTATTAAAAAAACAGAYTGTCACAATCAGTTTTTTTTAAAAACACCAGGACCTGGTAGCGAAAAGACGCGTTGTTTCTTAATGGTTTAGCTCAAAAACTTAACTAGAAATGGAATAATTATCCATCAACCTTGTATCAGTTACCTTGTCCTTGAAGTCCGTATGGTTCTGAAGAATAGCCCGTTGGTAAGTCCCTGTCCGAACATAGTCCTGCATCATGTTCTGTTGCTGGGAGAGGTAGCCGTAAAACTGTTGGAACACCACAACACAAACTGGTGAAAGGTCTGGACACAGAAAAATGTTCACTTTTTTAGAACTGCACTTTTCATCTAATAATTAAACGGGTCAAACTTTATTGATGGAAAGATGTCAATAAAAACTAGGTTTGATTCCAGAAAGCATCAGAACACAGCAGCTCTGAGGTTTCACTGTGCTTTTGCTAGGGATGTCCCGATCCGATATTGATATCGGATATCGGTCCGATGTCAGCCAAAAAACGAGTATCGGATTTTATCGGCCTGCATAAAAAATGTCCGATATAAGCGCTCCGATATTAGCAGTCCGTTCCAGCAGTTCACTGACTCCGCTCCAGTGTTTCTATCCAGCAGCGCTTGGATCCAGCATGCAGAGCTCACATGATCACAACAACATGCTGCGCTAACAAGTTAGCAAGAATGTCAGCAGAACTTTCTATTTTCATCAAAAACAGAGTTGAAGGTAAGTTGTCGTGCACACGTTTTCCGTGGGGCAACAGAAYCGTGAACGTTTTTAACCAGAGAGACAACCAGGCTCTACTCTCCACMCTGGCAGCAGCTCGGCTCGGTTCAGCCTCGATCCAAAAGTGTCTCCATGGTTCCAAACGAGCAGAACCTCCTCTCACTCCGGTGGTTCTAGCGGGCTGAAGCGAGGACAGCACGCTTTTTACGGTTTTGACATCAGCAGAATGCTGCCCGTGGATTAACTCTTTATGGACAGAAGAAAGGAAGAGCGCAGATTTTGTTTTGGAATACGAGCAACATGACGAGAGCAGTGATAAAAACTGCTCCCTGCAGGAGAGAGAGGCTGATCTCCACATGATGCTCAGACTGTAGAAGGTATTAATAATTAACTGATTCTTACTATTTATTTTTGCTCAATTGTAGAGTGGTGTTTAATCTGTTTACACACTTGTTTGAGTGAAGATTAAGTGCAATGATCACGTTGTTTTAGTTACAGTCAGTAAAATTGGAGCTGTGGACTCTTAACTTTGAACAGACAATAATGTGGGGTTTTCTTTTGTCCCCACCTTCAGTTGTTCCCACCATAAAGCAGCACAAGGCTGACAGATGGTAAAAAAAAATAACTGGAGTGATTTTGAATTATTTTACTTTAAAAGTACATTTTATTTTTATTATGTTATTTTTTCAGGGTATTGTAATTTATTTTATTTATTWAATTGTAGAATGTTCTTCAGTTTAAAATGTATGTGATCCATTGGTTAAAAATAAATGGGTCAGTTTTTCTTCATACCTACTCTTTTTCACTGTTTGACTTGATCAAGACTTTTCTAAGATTTTACATTACAAAATAGGTAAAAGTGTGTGATTTGTACTGATATGTATTGGGTCAATATCGGTATCGGTCAATTCTCAAAGTTGCAATATCGGTATCGTATCGGAAGTGAAAAAGATGTATCGGGACATCCCTAGCATTTGCGCAGCTATGACTCAGAACCAATCACATCCCTTTAACAGTCTGTTAGTGTTCCTGATGTTCTGTGTGACAGGCAGCAGATTCACAGCACAGTATGAACTCCTTCACATCAGCATCGGGACAGAGACTAAAGAAGGGGAGGATCTGCTGCTTARAGCTGGAAACAGATGGGCCTGGTGTGTGTGTGAGCAGTGGGCCTGGTGCAAACAGCACAACACTTTATCCAACAGAACTGTTGTTGCTCTGCAAAATCCACAACCTCTGTTTGTTGTGTTTCTGATATTGGCTGGCGTAGTCTCTGTTATCCAGGATATGGTAAATAAAAAACAACTTATACTCTGTAGTTGATAACATTTCACTTCTTATCAGAGCTCCAAGATTTAAACTACAACTTCTGTTTGTTATGTGTGAACTAAAGGATAGCAATGGCAGCTTTAAAGATGAAACAATTTGCCATAATTAGGAGCAATCATCCGTGAAAAGAGCTGGAGAAACTCTACATGCCTGATGGTATTTCAACAAACAAAAACAGTTTTCTCATTTCCTTCACAGAGAACTGGATAGAGTCAGAAAACAGAGGTGGAGTTGTTGTAATTTCACCTTTAAATCTACTCACCTGGAAATACTGTACAGCAGAGGACTCCTCTGTTCGTTCACTGAAGACTGAATGCTCACCGAGGTGTCCCCGGCAGTTCTTCAGAACGTTATAAAATGACTGAAAGTCTGAAGCGGAGCACACATTACTTCAGCTACACAGAGGCAATGTGTAGTCATTTTAAAGTTTTTAAACAAAATTTTTCCTTCAAAACACCAGTTCTACTGTGGGTCAGCAGTACAGTTTACTGTTTGACTCACTGAACAAAAAAAATGAACCTTTTACTGTTGGAGCAACAACTGCTACAGTTTGTGACAAAACACACATCATGGATCCCAAAATCAAAGACATGTAGAACCCAATCCAACTTTTATTGATTATAAATCAAAAGAGATAAACAAATATATTTTTTTGTGTTAGACTGTAATAGCTAGGCTCCTTTTGGTTATAATGACTGTTAATGTTTACAAAAACTTAAACTTTATAAAGTAAAACTTAAACAAGTATGGTGATAATGTGGGGTATTTAAGCCCTCACGAGTAAAACAGACCATTTAAACATGAATATAATTAGAGTTTATGTTCCACACAACAACATGCTGGCACCAAATGCAGAGTTATAATCAGGGGTCATTTGAAGACTTTGTACCTGCAGGTGAAGAGAACTGCAGGAGGACACTGTTGCAGCCCAGAGTGATGATGAACGACTGTTTCCCCACACGACTGCACTCCGTCTCCCTAGAAACTGAACACTTGAAAACGCTCGTATCCTCTCCTACAAAAAAACAAACAGGATATATTAGAGTTTCTCAAAACAAGTCATGGTTTAGTTTGTTGTAAGTACAATTAAGTCAAGAGAAACAAACTGTTAATAGCTGATATATTTAGGTACGCACATACACACCAGGCAGTATACCCCCCCCACCATTATTCAAGGAGGGCGCCCCACCCTGTCAACAGCACAGAGTGAGTGATTTAGTATAGTAATGTAAGCTCTGCAGCTGCTCTGATAGGCACAAAGACCGTCTGAGCCGTCCCACCACACGAAGGAGCAGGGAAGCTGCCCTTAGGGCCCTATAATTCCTGCGATGCAGAAAACGCAGACGGAATCGCAGAATTGACCAAACAAAATGGAATCCTGTATAAAACATGGAATCTCATGGAATTTGCTTATTTGGGCGAGTTTCTGAGGTCTTTTGGCCACTGCTGCTCCCTGGACCTGCCTTTACCTGCCGGTAACAGGCGCATGGGGTGAGCTCCATGAGCTCGTCTCCCAACACAGAGAGAAGAAATAAGACTSAACACTCAGAAGTGAGGTGAGAGTTTATACAAGATTTTGTTGTGTGTGCAGAATCACATGTTCCTTTAGAGAAAACCAAACAGCTTTGTCTGTTTTTTGATAAAGAGCTGTAAACTGGGAGGCAGTCCTTACAGAACTAAACRTACACACATTGTTGCTGTTTGTAGGTTTTATGTTTCTTTTAAACACTTTGCAAAAACAATTCAATGTTCTACTGAATCACAGCAATTTGATATATTAGTGAAAGTGAAATATAAACCATTATTTTTTATGGTGGCTATTTATTTGTTAAATTATTTTTCAGTCATTTTATAATTATATAAATATATTTCTAATTACACACTTTTAGGTGTATGGTTACAATAAAAAAATATGGAAATTCAGAGAAAAGTGTTGATGACTTTTTCCAAAATCCTTCCTAAAAGTCTGAAGTTTGCTAGAGTCAGAGAGTCAAAGCATCCTGCCTTTGGCTACTGCCCATAGCACAATGCCCCAGATATGGCCACTTCTGCCCATGGTGGGTTCACAGGACGGAGAACCCATGTAGATCATTCAAGCTGAGCCTGGCTGGGCCCCATGGGTASAGGCTTGGTCACTAGATCCTTGTCAACAAGCTCCACAGTGGGGCTTTGATAACTCGTGTCCTGGTGACAAGCAATGAGCTCCTTGCTGTCGTCTATCCATACTAGTCTTTTGAACTGCTCTTTGTCTGGCCTGATCCCCAAGACCAAACTGTTCTGAGAGACCCATTATCTGTTTCTTCTTTCCTTTTAAATCAAGATTGCATTTTTCTAAAAATAAATCTGATTCTTTCTCTGCCTTTGAAATGTCGTGTTGCAGCGTCTATTTCAGACGTAGGTCTGTGTGTCTGTTTTTGATTCCTGGTGCATTAACACTCACTGGAGCTCATCTGTGCTGCATTATTTATTAGAAACAGTTTGATTTCTGCTCTGCATGTTAGGGCTGGGCATAATTGTATCGTGTGCAATTAATCGTCAGAAAAACAATCGATTATTATTTGGCACTTGACGATTAATATGATTAATGCCACCAGGCAGAGTCCGCTCAGTGCTCCTCTCCACTTCAAATATGATGAACATAAAAAAGGTTCTGTAATTTATTTATCTATCAACACAATTTAAAATTAGACGTATAGCCAGAAGTCTGTAATTTTGACACAATTTGGAACAGATTTTTATGAAGAGTAAATCTTTCCCACTAAATTGGTCATGTGACCAGGACATAAGGGTGTCCAGGGACTCCAGGGGATTAATCGTCAAATTAATCGTTATCGGCTAAATACCACAATTAATCGTGATTAATTTTTTTGCCAATATTGCCCAACCCTACTGCGTGTGCATGTTTACACGAGAGTTTTCTTAGCACTGAAACGATCCTAAATGTCTGTGTTGTCTGCTTAATAATGTGACTTATACCCAGTACTCCTTGTTGTCTAAGCAATACAAATGTTCTCTGACTACAATATAAGGTACAAATAAATTATAAAAAATATTAATTTCCTAAAGAATAAAATAAAGACCAGGAGCAGCTTCCCTCTCACGTCTCCAAGTCTGTCTCTGTTTCTGAGTTATGGCTGATAAAAACTGAAGGTCAGACTTTAGGCTTCAATAGAAAACCTGGCCTCACAGTTTATACAGAAATACACAAAAATCATGTAGAAACTGAATCACTGACATTAAATCCACTTATTACTCAGAGAAATCCATTCCAACAAAGGCAGTTCTGAGGTATTGTTTTCATTTCTCAAGAAATCTTTCCACCCCCAGCTTCTCATCTGCACACTGTGGCTTTGTGGGACTCTGTCCTTTTTTAATGATACAATGTATCAAATTCACCTGCTCCTCAGTTTAAACTGTTATTAATATCTCCTCCTAAACCCTCCTCCAGCYCACGCCTTCCCTGCTTTTCAGCTCCTCGTTCTTTCAGACATCTGATTTCATCAACAAGTCCAAATCCTCCACCTGTTGGTTTAGACCTCATGGCAGCAGACTCTGGTTTCCTCTCCTATTCATCAACACCGTGTCTCACAAGTTTCTCCACAGACTCCTCTCCGCTGGCATCGCTCACGCCAACAGAGTGATGTTAATTTCTCTTTCAAGCTGCACTCATTTCACTCAGCTTCAGTTTTTCTGTTGGAAACCATCTCGTTAGCACTGGTGTTCTCCAGAACGGTGTCCTCTGGTCTCCCCTTTTCATCAACCCCATCACACTGCAGCATTTCCCTACAATTATCCAAGGAGGGTGCCCTGCCACCCCGACGGACTCACCCCCTCTGTGAAGGTCATGACATGTAATCAAATTTAAAAAACATCAGTTTGTGTTCAAACATGAATGCTGCAGCTGCTGGAGACACAAAAGCTAAAACCTCACCACCCCCTGCACTCGAACCAGGTCTTTCCCAGGACTCTTCTATCTAAAATCTAACACAGTATTAAATGCTGCTAATGCATATGGAGCAACAGAAGCAGAACCTTTAGGTGCTCTGCTCCACAGCTCTGGAACTCACTRCCTCCAGAAATCAGGAACTGACTCTCTTCCTTCTCTTCAAGTCCAGATTTAAAACTTATGTTTATCCTAGTGGATGGATGCTATATTTTTTGATGTMCGGGTGTTTTTATATGCATGTGCTGCTTGTTCCCTCTGTTCAGTGTCCTTAGGTGTCAGAAAGATGTTAATCAATGCATTCAGGGGTTGAAGGGCCATCAGGTTGTGCGAGAGAGACGATTTTCTTTTCAGACAAGATCTCGCCTCCTGGTTATCTGGTGAACAACCAAGTGAAAAGATCTGGATTAAAGTTCTCCGGCGTGCAGGATGTCAGTTATTTGTAAAAAAAAATGAAAAGGGAAAATCTTCTTATAGCCAGATTAAACTGATGCTTCTTTCAACCAATAAAGAGAACCAGACAGTCAAAACTTTACCCAATCAGAGCAGAGCAGGGCAGGTCGTGCTGTCTGATTGACACCTGGGGCGATCAGCCTTGAGTCAGCATTTCCAGGACTCATTTCCACCAAGTATTATGTATTTTATAATATATTACCTTTTTGAAAGCACCTCATGAGCATTTCCACCATAACACCATGTGATCACACACTCAATAAAACTGCAAGAGATCACTTAACGGTGGTTTCTGAAGCAGTGGCTCAGAGGCTGCTTCACCACATCTCCCTGCAACCATACAACGCAACGCGGCACTGACCTGCCCAGGGGTCGGATTTATAAAACTAGCGTACACACAATTTGATCTCAGAAACTTGTGTACGCCACTTTTCATGCAAACGTTGTGATTTATAAAATCCAAACTTGACGTGAAAATGTGCGGTGCCTCACGCCAGCTTTGACCCATGCGTACGCTCATTTTGGAGACGTGAAACTGCGACACAGATGGTGAAGTGAGGAATTAGAGCCACACTGTGTAATGATCACTGTCAGATATTTAATTTGTCTTCATAATCACTTAGATTTTTATTCAACTTTATCATCAGCTTTCTTAACAGTAATATTTATGCTTCTGCTGCTGAGCCATGAGGACCTTTGAAATAAAAAAAACTTAAATCTTAAATAAAGTTCACGCATCTTCTTCCTCCTCAGACGACCCTGACCCACAGACCCCTCCCCGACAAGAGACATTTCAACAACACGACAGCAAAAGTCACGCTTTGGGTACWCGCAGGGTGCGCTCACCCTCACCAGTGTGGATGTTATAAAACTTCACTTTTTAAAGTCGTATTTGTCACGCGGGGGTGTGTGTGTGGTGGTGGTGGTGGTGGTGGTGGGGGGTCAGCCGCAGATAACAGAGGAGGAGGACGGGGAGACGAGTGGTGAAATTATTTCTAACTTTATCTGACTTATTTAATTTTATTTATTGTTTTTATCGTCCTGCAGGCTCTGAGAAAATTAATTTGAAGCTGAGTTTTTGATAAAAATTATTAGATTACTCTAAACGACTGTAAACCTGCAAAATCAGGGAAAAGCTGTGTAAATTACAGACAATCTGTTCACGTCAGCAGCTGTCAGCACCTGTCAACCTCCAGACACACGACGGAGCGTGTCTGAACTGCCAATCAATGATCAGTTGACTGATTTAAATACATCTTAACATTCATGAGGTACTTTACGTTGACTGTTTATGGTTGAGTGTGGGCGTGTAGAGGGTAGAACCTGAGGCGGGACCTCGTGCACAAATTATGAGGCACAGCTGTGATCTATAAAGTGAAAATGCGGTGAAACGTGCGTACGCACGGTTTTATAAATCTGATTTTTTTTTTTTTTTGTGTACACCATTTCCGCCTTTTGGCTGTACGTTCACTTTTAGTATGGTTTCAACTCAATCCTTTATAAATCTGACCCCAGGACTTGAGTGTCTAAAATTTATCTTTGCATTATCTGAATGTTAATGTGCGGAGCATCTAAGTCAGTGGTTCCCAAACTTTTTGTCTTCTGACCCACAAAATATTCATGACAAAAAGTTGTGACCCCAAATATTACTGGTCTGAGCACACGAACTCCGTTGATAATAGGGGTGTAAGAAAATATCCATATACTGAAATATCACGATATTTCATTTCCCGATACTGTACCGATATTCTAAAGCCCTGTATCGATTTTTTTATTAAGGTTTAAAATGTCAACTTTCTTGCCAACCGTTCATTTTTATGTTGTAGTTCAGCCTCTGACCACTAGTTGGCAGCAGTGAGCCAGCCACTTGGCTCCTCTACCTCTTGTGCGCCAGAGAGTAAGAGAGCATTAGCATTGTAGGAGACAATGTAAGCATTGTAAGTAAACATTAGCTTTTTTTTTCAGTAAGAGGTTTTTATTTAATAGAATTTTTGGACAAAAAAAATCGCAATATATCGGGATATATCATATCGTGACCCCTCTGTTATGATATGTATCGTATCGCCAAATTCTTGCCAATACACAGCCCTAGTTAATAACCCTAAAAACACAGGCTTTTTGACAATCTAAACAGCTTGTACACAAATATACTTATTTTTACTTATTTTGTGTTTTTGTAATAATTATAGGAAAAATATTACATCAGCAATTATTTTATTACCCTTTAAATTGATTTCTGGAGATTATCCAAGGTGCTTCATGACCCATAATTGGGTCCCAAGCCCAACTTTGGGAAACAAAATGCAGTGGTTCCCAAATTTTTCAGCTTTTGATCCACAAAATAACAGTAGCAGAGACCTGTGCCCCCAACTATTTTTGGATGATAAACATTTGAATCAGGTCAACTAAACACGGGCATCGTAACAATATTACATTTATCCATTTTAAACATACTAACCTCACTCATTTGTAACAACTAAGGCAAAAATGTAATTAATTCAGAAAATCTTTTCAGGACCCCACCTTGAAGTTTTGGGACCCCACTTTGGGTCCCGACCCCAACTTTGGGAAACGCTGGTCTAAGTTATCCTACAGACATGTGCAACGTGCGTGCAAACTCCTGATTTTCAAAGAAGGCCTCGCCGCCGCCGGAACACATTTTAGTTCATATAACTAAGCAAGATTAACACTATAATAATAAAGACAAATACTTATATCTCCCTGGTTATATTTCATTTAGCATCAAAATGAAGAGAGACCTTCTGATTTAAGTTTAGATTCACTTTGTTAGAAATTAATAACCAAACTTCATCAGGTCATGATCAGTCCAAATAAAGTTTAAAGGCATTTTGTTCTTTAACTTTTTTTGGATTAAAACTTATCTTGCAGTACATTAATTAAGTATCAGAAAATAACACTTCTTCCATTGTTCTGCTTGTTAGTAAAACTCAACACCTTAAAKATTTTACAGGGCATCTATTTTTAGGATGTAAATTTTACAACCAGGAGTGYTAATACACTCCTCTCTGAAAGTAATGGAGCAGAGAGGACAGTTCCTCCAGCTGATGACTGAAAACATCTGGCTTTGAGACATGAAAACATTTAAACTTTTATTTCTTGATGTTTACGTTAACAAAAATGAGAACCATAAAATAAGGCTCAGACGTAGGGAAGCAAACACCCCACTGCCCCATCCGTTGTGTCATTTACAGGGTGGGTTTTTGCTCAGATTATCACAGATTAGAAAATATGCTCTGATTTCATTCCTATGACCACAACACAAGTTTCAGGCTCAGGATTTTACTTATACTTTAAGTCTGGAGTTYGTCTGGGTTTGTGTTTTCACTCCATATTTAGAACAAGCATTGTTCTACTGCTTTATTTCCAGATATTTTATTTCTCTAAAACATCATTACATMCATTTGATATTTATATGGGCAAGAAAACAACATTATCCGCATAAACTCTGAGTTATTTGTGCACTAATTACTAGGCAACTGAGATCAAAGCATTTAAAGTAATATTGAATCAAAATCAAATCAGGACCCAAAGAATTGTAACTGAATTGTGAGGTTGTCMCCCAGCGCTACTGTCCAGAGTTTAACTTCATGATTAGATGCTTTCCTTACACCGTGAGGCCCTCAGACTCTTTACATTGCCGCTAAAACTCCAGCACCAATAAATAAAACACTTGATAAGCAAAGGATGGGTGCAGAACCAATGAAACAGACACAATGACAGAACCGCGGGGTTCGGCTWTTGTTCCAATGAGAACAAAGATGAATGTATAAATAATGAGGGCCCGGCCCGCTGTCACCACGCTCAGAAAAACTACTTTTCCATTTAAGCGCTTTAAAAGTTCGGGGACAGGACTCTACAGAAGACAGCTGGTCCCAGCAGTGTCCGTCCGGAACCCGGTCCACAGCTGCGGTTCGGGAATGATGATGATGATGATGATGATGATGATGATGTGCCCCTGCGGCTGTCTGCTATCAATCACCTCCCAGCGGTTAATTCAACCTAAACTCCCAACCGGGTCAGAACAGGACCGGTCCATTGATAAGAGGTTCTTCTCGTGTGATGAGACGCAGTTTAATAGTAATAAAAACACAGTGAGTGATCGCTGYGTGTTGGCGCGACTCTGTCGATGCAGGCTATTGTTTAACTAGCATTAATACATATTTAGCTAATCGCGACTTCACTAATCAGTCTGCTGCTCTGCGTGGTGTTTTTAGCTGCTGGATCCGAACAGCTAAACTTTTACCAGCAGAACACTAACGACCCAAACTTAACGAGCATTAAGGAGCCTTATCGACGGACAAAAGAATCAGAATTGGGGGCTCCCTCGTGACACGCAGAGGCAAGGTGGCCCCAAAGCTAACACTGCTGCTGGCCGGATTAGCATGTGTGTGTTAGCCGTTTACAGGCCGATCCTCCACAAACCGCTCCTGAAACAAACCAGAACCACTTACCATTGGAGAGATTGATGAGGGCAGCATCCTGGGACGTTTTGACTTCTAATCGCAGCGGCTGCTGCTCTGAATGTCGCTGAATGTCTCCGTTCGCGTCTCCGATTGTGAGCAGCCGCACGCCGCGGAACACAGAGACCGCCATCTTCAATGTGGAAGTGGAGGCAGCCGCGCGCGCACTGCTCTCTGCTGGAGGCCGGTGGTGCGGATCGATCCTACTAACAACCGCCTACCTGTATCGATGTTATCAGATCAATTTTTATAATAT